CGGCAATGTGGCCAAAGATATCAGGATCGCCAGAGATCGCCAGCTGGCACCATGCAACAGTCGATGGCACGACGCCTCGTTGCGGACGCGCTTCGACCGCTTGCAAGGACCTAGCGTGCAGCTGCAATGACTGCACCAAGGCCACAAGTATGCGTGCAGCTGCATTAACTACACCAAGGCCACAAGTATGCGTGCATATGTGCCCGATGGTCCTGCTTATTGCACCAGCAATAAGGTCAGGCGCCGACAGGTGGTGACGTGGCACTGGCACGTACCACCGTGCGTACACCGACTACCGACTGTGGCGATCGATATCATAACTTGCCACCTTGCATGGGATTGCAACACACTTGCGCCGGGGCAGATACAGTGCGTCGTCAACGTGGTTCCTGGGTGGTGGCATCGCTGGCCACACGCATCGTTGCGGCAAAGTCGGTGACCCTCCTGAGGTCCAGCCAAAGCTAGTAGTCGGTCGCTGTGCAACCAGGCAGAAACGAAAGTATTCTTGCACTCAAATTTAGGACGTTGGCCGCGCGATCTCAAAGAGGTTGGAGGTTGCGACGTAGTCGTTGCGGCTCATGCGGCCGAGCGACGCGAAGACGTTGCTGTCGATTTGGCCGCTGTCTGTGAGCGCCGCCTCGGCAATCTCAAAGTGCACTACGTTGAGGAGCACGACTTTGCCGTTGCCGATCTCGAGGACGTCGCGGAGCAAGCACTCCATCCGGATCGGAGACGCCGCCACACCCGGCACCTGCACGCGCGTGCTAGGAATCGTTGGGATCTGGAGTGCGTCGATCTCGCTCACGCCGTGCGCGTAGTTCTTGGACGTCGCGTTCATGACGTCGCCGAGCTCGGTCGTGACGAAGTTGATGACGCACTCGTTCGTCGCGCGGAGGTTCGTCAGCGTGTCCTTGTCGGTGCCCGGCGTCGGGAAGATTTGCGTGTACGACACTATTGGCGGGTCCGAGCTCACAACCGTGAAGAACGAGAAAGGCGCGAGGTTCGTGACGCCGTCCTTGCTCACGGTGCTAATCTACAAGAAAACTATCAACTCGATACTACGTCGAGAGATGGAGATGGCATTACCCACGCAATGGGGCGCGGCACGACGGCGCCCGTGAGGAGTTGGTATGCCTGGCGCGCCGGAGTCGACGCCACTTCAAAGCCTCTGGTTTGCATTGAACAAATGGATTGTGGCGACGGAACGCATCCTCCAACGGCCGCTGAAACTGCGACAGGCGGGCTGTTCCGTGAGGAATTCTCAGCGATGTCGTCATGCTCGAGTGGTTTTAGACGAGACGATGCCGCAGGCTACTGCGCCTGAAACAACGTACCAAGGCATTGCTTTGAGCATGAATCGATGTACGAGTAGTTCAAAGGCGACTGGACCACGAACGATCTCTCTCTGCACCGGCTCACCGGCGCATTAGTTCCAGATCCCAGATCCGACCGAAAAAGTCCAGCGGCTGGTTTTTGCCGAAATCGGTAGCCCTTCGGCGCGCAGTGGACGCTTGGTCGTCGCCAACAGCGCCTTTCAAGCCAACGTGACCAGCTCGAGGCCCTTGATGCCACGTCGCTGAGTGAGAACGCATAAAAGTCTCTCCTTGAGCCGTTTGTTCAGAGACTGTGTTGCTTCTAAGCATTCGACGCCATGATCGAATGCGAATCCTCGTCGAGTTGGTCCTATGCGCTGTGCGACCGCAGCCGAGCGTACGCGACGTACGACGCGAGGCCAAGCGCAGTCGAGAGCGCGGCGTTGTGGATGGCCCACGACATCATGTCCGAGACCATCTACATCAATGTGATTGCATCGCTTTGAGGAGAGACAAGTCGATGCGTACCTGCACAAGCGTCGCGCCGCCGGTCGAGTAGGGCTGGGCCACAGCCCCGTACGACAAGGTGTGGTTGCTCGCGAGATGGACGTAGCCATAGTTCTTGCCATAGTAGACGTGCTTGCTCAGCATGGCAAACTCGGTGCGTGTGCGGGGAACGATCGCCGCGTAGAGCCAATGGAACGG